AATAGCTGAAAACGGTCCTGTGAGGTGCCGATGTCTGGAGGTGTCCGGGGGGGTCCCACAAAGCCGCCGAAATCTTGAGGCCACGGAGAAAATTTTTGCTTTACAACACCCAAAAAACAAAAGCCGCAGGCGGGCCTCCAGGGGCGTCCAGGGGCCTCCAGGATTCTTCAAGGTTCTCCAGGGGCCTCACCTCCAGGGGCCTCCAGCCTCCCAGCTGCAGTGGCTTTCAGTGGACCAGGCTTTTTCAGGATTGAAGGGTTTGCTTTGGCCCCTCCAGGGGCCTGGGCTCCCAGCACCAACAGAGCCTGCCTGAGGCCAGCAGGCCGGGGGCACCCCCTGCCCTGAAGGTCTTGAGAAAACAGCATAGCGTAGAAGTGACTTGATTTTTTTCCGGGTTTAAGGGTACCCTTGCAGGCTGGACAAAGGGTCNNGCCCAGGAAGCTAACTCTTCCTGGGCGACTGGAGGACTGGTCTCCAGCCGTCGACTGGCGCGGCACGCCTGTCGCTAAAACAGGGCCTTGCTCGAGTTTAGGGTTTAGGGTTTTTAGGGTTTAGGGTTTATCCGCCCATTGGGTCCCACATCATCAAGAAAATTGCACCCCAACCCCGAAGCCCAAAATCCCGAAGCCAAAGGTCTGAACCCTTAATGAAGCCCAAACCCCAAAGCTCAAACCCTCAAGCCCAAAACCCCGAACCCTAGAGCCAGGACCCTAAATCCCGAAGCCCTAGAGCCCGAACCCTAGACCGAGCCCGAGAGCCCAACCCTAGAGCCAGAACCCTGGAACTCGAACCCTAGACCAAACCCTAGGGCCGAAACCTAGAGCCCGAACCCTAAAGCCGCTAGACCGATCCCTACCTAGACCCTCCAAGGTAGTACCTTTTGGTTGTCCCAATAGGAATCCTAACCCTAAACCCTAAACCCCAAAACCATACCAAACCCAAAAGGAACTACGTTGGAGGGTCTAGGTAGAGCATCCTAGAGCCCAACCCGAAACCCCAGGTTTAGGGTTTAGGGTTTAGGGGGCACCCTTGCCAGGTAGGGGGCCTAAGGTGGCTTGGCTTGCCTACGAAGGACAGTACACTTTAAGTTACTATATGAAAGAGGGGTTTAGGGTGCTAGGGTGTAGAGGAAGTCAAAATGAAGTATTACCGCAATGTGGGTATTTATGATAAATAATAAGGTTTCCTGGCTGCGGTAGCCTAATTTAAGCTCCTTAAAAGCAACCACGTCTATGATTCACCTCTTGTGAGGCCTTACTTTTCTTGCACGTACGTACATACCTACCCTTTTTGAGGGCTGGGGGCTCAGGGTTCAAGCACAAAACTTTTGAGGACGGCAGAAAACAAAAGCCGATTGCAGCGCGACGTGAAGCCCCACATCGACCCCCCACCCATTCGACTGGGACCATAATATGGATATATAGGCTGATATAGGGTTTAGGGTTTCGGGGTGAGAGTTTAGGGTTTAGGGTTGCTGGGGAGGAAGGAAATTTTAAGTTACCATTATACGGGTAGAAAGGAAAGAATGGGGTTTCCTTATTGTAGTACCTTAAATTTACGATTCTGAACAGCAACCCTGCACCCTAAACCCTAAATCCTAAACCCTAAACCCTAAACCCTTAATCCTAAACCCTAAACCCTAAACCCTAAGCCCTGAACCCTTTTGCAGCAGGCTTGCGTGAATCCTCGCCTGGATGTGTCCTGAACCCTAAACCCTAAACCCTAAACCCTAACCCCAGTAGAAGGGCTGTAGCCTCTGCGGGGCTGCTCATGGGCGTCCGTGGTCCCTTTAATCAAGGGTTCCTGGGTTGTACCCTTAAGGTCGTACCCCTAAAAGGTTTCCCCACAATAGCCCTAGTATAGTCCTGATATGGGCCAATGGTTTGCCCTAAAGTCCCTAAAAAGGATCCCAAACCACTAAACCCTAAACCCTAAGCCCAAAACGCCAAACCCTAAACCCTAAACCCAAAACGCCACATCCTAAACCCCAAACCCTAAACCCTGAACCCAGGGGTACAAGCTTGAAACCCTTTTGATGTAAGGAAAGGCGATGTCTGCGGCTCCAAGCTCGCGGTGGCGCATTTTGAGTTAGATTCAATATCCTCAGGGGCTTAGGGTTTGGGGTTTTGGGTTTGGGGTTTAGGGCTTAGGGTTTAGGCTTTTTTTAGGGCTTAGGGGTTTAGGGCTACATTCCTTGTTCTTCTTCACCCAAAACCTTAAATCCTGAATCCCATCTTAGGAGCTAGGCGTTGGGTTCGCCCGGATATGGTAGCTGCAAGGCGGCGCTCGTTGAATCATGGGTTGGATTTATACCCTCCCCTAATATCAAACCCCCCCACCCCCCTAATATGTAGTACTCCCAATATGTTATAATGTACCATATACTGGGAGTATCTAATATTAGCGGAGGTTTGGGCGTTGATATGGGGGCGAGGATTATTTCAAGGCAACACGAAACGTGGGCAAGCACTGCACAAGCCTCGGCGATTCCGAACTTATGCCAGGGTCTCGCTGAGAATTCTGCTTTTCCAGGTGCACGTGGGGGCTGTTCAACTGTGTGAACTCCAATCCCCTAATTACCCTTTTCCGAAAGAAAATGGGACCCAATATGGCCTCTCTGGAACAAAAGGAAAGTATCTGATGTAGTGGCTCCTGTGGAGTCCCTCAAAATCAATCCCTAAAGCCTCAACGCTAAAACTATAATGTAGGCCCGTGATGAATAAACCCCCTCTCGCTTTAGGGCCTTAATATTAGGATCCCTATTATAACCCCATTAAGGGGAGGGGGTTTAGGAATTAGGGGTCTACATTACCTAGCTTCAATTGCCCCCCCTGAAGAAACCTAAGATGGAAATCTAGCTGCTGCAACCAAGGAGCTTGCTGCAGTCATTTCTACGGCGGCAACGGACTGACCGCGCTTGTCCGGGGCAGCTGCATCGCTGTAGGTGGTATCCTTGGTTGGGGCTAGATTTAAGGCAACCCTGAACCCTAAGAACTAAAACCGCTTACGCACAGCTTAAGGTTTAGCGTTCAGGGCTGTCGGGTGCTCTCGGTGTGGAATCACAAGATTAGCGTTCAGGGTTTAGGGTTGGGAGGCGTTGGGGGTTTTAGACTTTAGGGTTGACAAGGGTTTGGGCTTTAGGGTTGACAGGGGTTGAGGGTTGGGAGGGAGGTGTGGAGGGCTTCAACTTCAAAACGGGATATCTGAAACAAGGGCTCCTTTCCTAGCGCATGCTCAGTGTCTAAATGCTACCCACTATCCGCTTCATGACATTTGCCTTCTTCTGAAACTTTTGCCCTAAGCCCTCAACCCTAAAACGCCACGTTGAGCCGCAAAAGCGTGGGGTTCAGGTTTTAGGGAATGAAGGGGGGGGCCTAAGCTAAAGATCTTCTCCAAACATGAACTGGTGGTTTCCCAAAATAAGGGGAACCCCCAATATAGACCCGAATATACTATATAGTCCTTACTATTGGGCCCCCCAAACTGGTACCCTTAACTTTGGGAAACCCCCAACTTAACTTGTTGACCCTTCCTGCGCCTTTTTGCCGCAGTAAAAACAAACAGGAAGCCCTCCACCAACAAGTGGCTCTTGTTTGAGGGTTCAGGGTCTAAGTCTAAGGGGGGTGTAGGGTTTAGGGTTTAGGGTTTAGATTTAAACCCTAGACTCCAAACCCTAAACATGGCACTGAACAATACTACTCCAACTGGCTGTGACTCAAGTTAAGCCCTGCCGCTACTACGTACGGCCCACCTACCAACAATAGCTTTCCGCAGAAGACTTCAATCTAGGTTGTACCATCATTCCCAGCTCTGTAAACCCCAAAAACAGTGCGTACTTTTTGGAAATCCATACTTTGGGATCATGAACCATCTACCAACACATATTGCAAGAATTCGTCAGATAAGCCAAACAAAAGACGAGACTCGCAATGAACCACTGCCACACTCTCCCCGCGAACAACGAAAGGGGAGTCGCCACAGGGCTTGTGTCCACAGAAAACAGTCCGAACACCCCCTTTTTCAGGGTCCAAGATTTCGAGTTTAGGCGTTCTGGTTTGTAGTCTCTTGTTGCAGGTTTAAGGTTTATCCAGGCTGTAAGGTTCAGTGCTTCGGGCAAGCAGGGTGGTCTTTCTGGGTTTCAGGGATTATTAGCCCTGAACCCGGGACCTAACGTCTTCTAAACCATGAAGCCCTAAACCCGCAAAACCGAAGCATTGAGCCCCTAATCCCTAAACCCCAAAGCCCAAACTTCCTAAACCCTAAAACCCGTTAACCCTCAAACCCTAAACACCTAACCGTGTCGCACCTTTCATGAGGAAGGCTTCAACCTCCCCGTCCAAGTGATCAGGGATGCCTCCTTTAAGGGGCGTACGTTTGAGGGAATATGAAATGGAAACTACTATAGTTTAGGGTTTAGGGGTTAGGGGTTTAGGGTGTCGGGTTTAAGGTTTAGGTCTATGGGTTTAAGGTTTCGGGTGTGCGGTTTAGGGTTTCGGGCTTACGGCTTAGCGTTTCGGGTTTCGGGTTTATAGCTTCGGGTTTGGGTTCAGACCGGAAGTTTCGTGCGGGTTTGAGGTTGTGCTGCTCCTGCCCTATATACTTTGCCTGGGTTGGGGGGTAGATGGTTTTGGGTGTGGGGTGTGGGGCACGGGGTGCGAGGAGTTGAAAGCAAATTGGTTCAGGGTTGGAGGCTTAGCCCCAATTTAGACCACACAATACCCCCAATTTTGGAAAACCCCCGTAACTTTACAGCATGAGTGAAACTCTATGGGGGACTCCCTGCCGCCAGCATCTGGCTTCAAGGCCGCTGCCCCTTGCTCATGTGCAGTTGATGGAAACATGTTTACGCGGAGGTCCGTCATTCCGTGGTTGGGAGTTCAGGGTTCAAGGTTCAGGGATCAGGGTTCAGGGTTTGGGGTCAGGTTTTGATTGGAAGTTGATTTGGCTGGCTCTGGGAAGGGGCTTGGTCTTGGGTTGACTGGATTTGGCTTGAGGATGCACACACTCAGGCACAGCTGACACACAAAAAAATCCAACAAAAAATTGTATATACAGATCGGGCTTGAGACATAGGGCTTGAGGTTTAGGGACACCGCGGCTCCTTGCAACAGTGACTCTACCACAATGGAGCGTCGAAAGCAGGCCGGAGTGCTGGTTAGGCACAAGAGGCCCTCGCCCCCGCGAACGCGGCCCGATCGCCAATACATCTGCGCTCGGAAATCGCGCAAGCCCTCCTTCGCTTGGCAGGTTCTGATATGTATCATGGCCTCCCCCACAACCTCCCTAAAAACAAATACGTGACGGTACTGTAGTGTGGGTTTATTACGAGGCATGGGGGTTCATTACTAGGGGAGTGCATTGTACACAGACATTGAGATCTTGCACAACAATGTCAAGATCGGGCATGGACTGTCAGGAAGAGAAACTAAAAAATCGTTCAGATTGTAGCTTTAAGCCCCTAAACCCTGAACCCTAAACCCTAAACCCCTAAACCCCTAAACCCTAAACTCCTAAACCCTAGATGTCTGGGCCGTTTAGGCTTTGCGCTGCGCGGCTTGAGGTGTTGCTTTGTTCGCGTGGTGTAGCACTAATGTGACAAAGAACTCCTGTCAGGAAAAACACTGTCGCTAGTAATCTTAATGTTCGGCATCTCCACAATCCTCCCTACCTTTATTACTGCGACCCTCAAAGGAACAAGCTGTAGAAAAATGTCTATAAATTTGCAATCTACAGCCATGAACCCTAAACCTTTTGGCGGCCTAGGACCCCAGACCCTCCTTGATCCCAGTCCTGAAGAAAGTCGTTCATGGCGCCCACCCAATCCTGCAACGCACCCTCCACACCTTAGTCTTGTTGGTTCTTCGTGGAAAAGAAGGCAATACAACCCCTATATAACCCCTATATAAGATACATTCCCCTGAATCCTACTAAGAACCAGTAAGTAGTGCGCATGAGGAGGTCTCATGGATCCTAGCAACAAGCACGTATTTTAGGGCATTGGGGCTTAGAGAAGACATGAGAAGACACATCCACCAAAAAAGGAAAAGAACCTTATACCTTGGGTCATTCCCCATCCCAGGAACTGTCCTTAAAGGGGCCTTATTGAGGGGGTTCTTATAACTCCTATAACCCATTGTGGCAACAGTTACTGTAAGGGGGAATGACCCAACTTATACCGCGACAATTTGCCCTGAAACCTCAGTCCAGCTTCCAGCCGAAATCAAAGGACAACAAACCCTAAACCCTAGGTGGACCCCACACCCAGCAACAGTCTATATTAGGGGTCCTATTGAGGGCTATAAATAGGGAATCATAGGGTATATCGATTAGGGTTTTAGGGTTTAGGGTTTAGGGTATACCTAGACCCTCCAATGTAGTTCCTTTTTGGGTTTGGTATGGTTTTTTGGTTAGGATTCCTATTGGGACAACCAAAAAGGTACTACATTGGAGGGTCTAGGTAAACCCTAAACCCTAGAATGAAGGATCCCCTCATGAGCATCCAGGCACGCTTGCCCCCGCAGGTGGCGCCTTCGTCAGGCTGCAGGTAGCGCATGTCCATGGAAGGAATCCAGTTGATGGCATCCTAGTTTGGGGTTTAGGTTCTTGGATTTATGGTTTGGAGTCTAGGGTTCGGGAGGTCCATATACCAGCGGCAATATGGAAATAAATGCAGAGCCCATATTGCATGAACAACCCTCTCCACCCATTAGTTAAAACCCCCACCCGCCCAATATCAAATATCACCATTGTGGTACACCGTAATAAGTTGGGATGGTTGAGTATTAGTGGGTTGGGGTTTTAATCTTAGATGATTAACTGTCCCATTTCAAGCCAGGTATGGGAAGTCCGCGTGAACGAAGAGCTGTGCGTAGGGAGACAGCACCTCGAAGCCCAAATTTAACTAGAATACATTATATCTGAACCAAAAACCCTAAGTATTCAAGTAAAATAAACCCTGAACCATCCTAAACCCTAGACGTACATTCAAGCCCTGTCTGCAACATGAGTCCTGAAATAACCGTCTTGCGGTCCATAGCCGCAATGCGAAACAAACGGTACATACCCATGAGCCCCCTATATAAAACCAAACGTCCATTTTTTCCATTTGGTTCTCAACAGCTTTAAACTCTTGAAACCCCTTTAACCCAAGACCCTAAACTATCATCACATTACGTTACTACGCGGCCCCGTTATGCCCCTTCACTACGACGCCCTGTTTCCATAGCAGCACGGACAAGAATCCAGTAAGTTGTACAAAAAAAATTGTGTTGTTTGTTTTTGAAACTCCCATATATAGCCCCTGTCACCTAAACCCGAAACCCTAAATCCCACATAGCCCCTACATTTAATCTCCCCTCATGAAGGCTCGCATCCTTGGGAAGCCCACCGTGCACGAACAGGCAGTCCCCAATCACCACTAGAAGGCTGCTGTGGATCAGATACTCCCAGACCAACCCATCTTCCTTGAAATTTCTGGGTTTTGGGCTTAGGGCTCAGAGTGTAGCATGTAGGGTGTTTAGAGTCTAGGGTATACAGGATTTCAAAAAAAACATTGAGGGCTGGGTTTAGGGCGCGTCTAGGGTTTCAATGGAGAATTCTTTGCCTTGAGAAACATATATGTAAGTATGTTGTGAGACTGCAACTTCATCCGTAATCGTAATTGTCAAGGATGACTGGGCACTCGGATGTGACCAACCCCTCTACCTGACATGGGCAGGTTTTGAAAATGATGGTCGTTCTTTGTGTGCCCCACATATTCGGGATGGGAGTCTGTGAGGGACATAATTTTGACAACTTGTCATGGTTCTTGCTGATTTGAGGTTTAGGGTTTGAGGGTTTACGCGCCTGCGAAACCGATTCGAGGAAGCTGCTCACAACCTCATCATCGCTGACCGCCCAAGCATCTTTGCCCGAAAGGATTGCCATCTCCTGCCTGCGAAGCTCGAAAGCGCCGGTAGCTGTCATGGTGTGGTCCAAAATCCACCGTAGGCGATTAGCCTGAGTATTGACATCGTCCACGGTTTTCCCGGCATCTTCACCTTCCAACTGCTTCTCTAGAAAGCTGCGTAAAGACACCTGTGGTGGTGCCCGTGGATACAACGGGACCGGCTGGGGCACGTCGATGTCATCTTCTGCCAACTCCGCTGGGAAACGCAATTTATTCAAGTCGCGGTTGCCAGCAAGCAGCCAGACACGGTCGGGGTGGGACTTCTTGAATTCCAACAGCTGCCCAGCAATCCGCAGGTCTCCCAAGCCCTTGTCAAACACATCCCCTCCAAACACAAAGTAATCTTGGGCGTCTCGCCTTTTGAATGACAGTGAACCTTCTGAATTGAACTCGACCACTTCGCTCAGAGCCACGCATCGGCTCCAGTATTGGTAGTCGCCCTCACAATCTGTTATGAAGCTAATCATGCAGCCTCTGTCTACAAATCCTTCACAATCTACAAAAAACCTTGTCCACACACTGTGCTGGCGTGGCTTGGGCCATGCATTGGCACATTGCATGCACATGCCATGATGATCCAACTATTGAAGCACCTCGGCTCCTGATAGTGTGGGTGCCTCATGTAGTAGTTCGGTATATCAGCCAGTCATATTGATCAGTGACATCATGTGCAACTATTCTGGGCAAATTCTGTCGGTACAACACACGTTGCATTGCAGCTAACATGCCCTGAGCTGTTCAAAAACTGCAAACCTTCAAATCTCAGACACAATGGTCGCTCCCATGCAATCCATGCCAACCAAGTAATCTCGCGGGTCCTGCTGGTACCCCACGATCCGGTCATGAAAGGTTCCTCAACATGGGCTCAAACATGTCGACGTTGATGTGTTTTCCGGCTGAGAAAACAAAGATCATGTCAGCCTTGTGCATTTTCCATGTTTCCTGACCATGTCCCTTCTTTCGGTGCCATACGAAAGCTACACCAGGCATCATGGCAAGCACAATTTAAACCCATGCAATTGTACAGCAAGAGACCTCTTCTCAGAACGGAGGTGAAAAACCTTGAACCCGAAACCCAGAGCCTGCCCAACCGCCATCGTCCAAGTACGCCAACAGGCGACGATCCTGGTGGGACATCACAAAATTTCGACAAGCCAGGGCCAGTTATACATATCATGCAATGTAAGGATTACACACGTGTTCTATGATATCTATAAGAAATACATGGGGATTACGATTACATCGGCATAACATTCGGATAACGAACGGGTGTGCAAGAAAAAGGCGGTAAGGCACCTGCGGTCATTGGAAATTAAATGATGAACGTGCTGTTGGCGAATCGCACTTCGATAAGCCCCCGACAAACAAAGCCATGGGCCATGGTACAACCTTGAAACGAATCACAACACATGTCCTAACAAGTCGTTTCTACACGGCTGCGTCCAGAATGATCGCTGCGGCGCTGCCTGGCGCATTAGCCCTTGAAAATACTGATGCTGATGCTGCTGTTCATGGGGGTGTCATGCATCTCATGAGCCATAATGCTCGAGCGGGATCTCCATGGCAACTTCGTGACCAAGTTAAGTTCGCTACCGAAATACACCTGTTGGGTTACTTTGAACGGTGCGATGCGGCATGCATCTGTATACATCCCTGAAACATGCGTTGCAACACTTCCCAATTGCATCATGCCCATCGCATGAAAGACAAGGTGGGGCCAACGACACCCCGTAACAGTGCACTATGTGGAGGCTCATGGGACATAATTGAACGCACAACCCTACCCATACTGTGGGGTTACCTAGAATAAACACGGTCAGGGGGAGGTATACACACAGTTTGTAGCCCTTGCATAGAACATTTGCTACATACAATGAACAGTCAGGTGTGGCCCAAACCCAGGGCATCGTCATTCCGCAAACACCCTCGTTTTGTTCTGGATTGCAGAAGTTGTCGCCCAACATCACCCAACACAAAAAGATATCAGCATCGATCAGCGTAGGCACGAACATTGCCAAACTACTCTCCCAGCGGTGGGCCCCCAGCGGACCACAGGGCCATGCCCGGCCACACAAAGGTATGTCACAAAGCGAATGATCATGGAAGATTGGGAGTTAGGAGGGGTACCCCAATTGGTGTGATTTCACGCGTGACCAGCCCGTAAGTGCGGTTCGCATGTTGACTGTTTTATCAGGGCCCTGTGTATTTGAGTGCTGGGCAAGGAAAAAAGTTTCCGGAAAGCTGATTTTGTGTCGCACATGTTGAAGAAATTTGCGGGACATTTTGGCCACTCATTAACACAGCCTTGGGCGAGAATTGCCCATTTCATCGGGCAGTGGGTTCAGGGGTTCTTTCCCGTGCCGTTTGGAGATGGACAGCTTACGAACACCAAACTTGTTTGTACCATGCTATGATCAGGCAAAGCTCCTCCCTTGTCGTAAGCATGGTCACATATGAGGTGTACATCATCTTCTCCGATGTCCCTGAGGATAGACAATGCAAGGAAGTGGAAGCTTTGGGAGCTGCCTGACGCATGGCGGTGCATGGGGTATTTTTGGTTTTTGTTAGCAAATCGTCTCAGATCATTGGCCCTCCCAAAAAGCACTTTCAAACCAATGATTCCTTATGTTATGTTGCCTGCCGCAGCTATTGTGGATCATTTGGCCAATAGTTTGTTATTTGACGCGTTCCTACTTGATAATTATAGGTTGTGAAAAGCCGGGCTTGTGGTTTTCTGGCTCAGGAGGCATAGGTGGCATCTCCTTTGGGTTGCGGTTAGATTGACGTCCAGCACTGCCGAACTAAAATTTTCATTTCACGGCTTTACGCCCCTTCCGTCGAGCACTTTGATCTTACTTTTGATGGGGTTGTCTGCGCGGAGTTTTGTTTGTTCCCACCATCGAATAAGTTTGCCGAAGAATTGGTGAAGTAACAAAAAGGGTTGCTCAAGCTCTGCCAGCGGGCGCTTCCTCAAACGCATTTTCGTCGCGCACCACGAACACCAGCGTGCAGACATGCCAGAATGGTAGACATTCTGCTCAGTCTTTCAATTGGAACCGCCCTTCCCCTGTGACCTGTGGGGTCTAGGACAGCCGTCGGAGCCATGGTGTTTTGTGCGTAGCATTCACGGAAATTGGTTTCAAATTAAACCATCTGGGATTCGAACCTTTTCCCAAAACACAAATTCCAGTCATGAACAAGGACGAAACCGCACAGCATCACAGAGAATGCCACCGGAGGATCTATAAATTTTGCGTGTCCACTACACAAACGAGGTTGTAGAGCGCGCATGTAATGTCACCGCTTCCCAGCACTGGCATTGTTAGGAGAAGCAGATGTGAGTGGCATGACATTGCTTGGTGAGACTTCAACGTCCACCTTGAACTCGATCAAACGCCCGAAATGGCAGTAGCTTCTGCGGCCCGCCTTGCGTGAGCTCGGGGTATGCCACGTGTTTGCAGCGTTCCGTGACCTGTAAGGCCCCGTCCACCTCAACCATGCACGGTTGCATGTGTCCCGTCCTCATGCGGGGACACCCGGGCCGCATCGCTGATGGAGGTTGATGAGGAAACGTACCGCTAAACCAGTCATTGGTGCAATTTGTTTTTTCCATGATTGATGCGGAATTATGGCCAAACCGTCATTGACCGCAAGATTCCTTGTCTGCCATTGGCGTGTAAGGATGTCAGATCAATCGGACACTGCCTCAGGCCTAGGTAAAAAAAATGACGTTGGACGTGTTGGGCATGCGGCTTGCGGGATGCAACTCCTTCAGATCCCGTTGCTCTCGCGTCGGACCATGATTCGTTTTGTGTCTTCGGATGTTTTTGGCATGCTCGGTTGCGAGGTCGCAGGCCGGTGAGGTGTAGGGGCGCAGCGCTTTATGCGCTTTGTCCACGACTTGTTACGCCTCCGTGCGTTCCACGCCCCCTGCCGTGCGAGTCGCCACGCGGTCCAGCTCGCAATGACGAGCACAGCACTCGGACACTCATGGCCGGCTGCCCCACAACCGACGGCCCTGCCTCGGACTGTGCTGTTCTCCACCGCCGAGCCCCAGCCGTCTCCCTTTGCGGCCCTGGACCGGGATATTGTTCACGGCATTGTCGTTGCAACGCGTTCAAAAGTGGATTTAAACAATCCATGGAAGACACATTGATGCCACCAATCCTTCGTAGCCCCAGGTACACCGCAGGTTGATACACATTTGTGTCAACACATAATTTGCCCAGGACACAAAACAATGCAGCATCACTATGTGAGTTTGCTCCACACAAGGCGAAGGGCAGTTGCGTGTACGGCCAGGGGGATGACCCTGGCCAGTGACGAGGCGTCATCTTCGTCCAAAGCCCCCTCCAACGTTTGGCGGCATTCTGGACCTGTCGTGTCGTGCATTGTACATCAAATCGGGACGGCAACTTGGGGAGCGGTAGAAAAGGGACGACGAACCTTGAACGAAAAGGCAAAACAAACTTGGACGAACCCTGCCGCGGTGGGGTTAAACGTATCCAGCCCTTTTTACTGAGCGTGAAAAAACTGCTGGCCTCCAGCCTCCTTTGTTTATCCTTGAATGAATGTTACACATTGTGCGTCTACATCTGCCGGTCCTTCGGGAACAGCATGACACAAGGTCTCGCGTTTGCCTGTGACAGCCGATGCGTGTGCACAGGCAGTCCTGCATTTACTTGCCATCACCTACGGCATGTGGGAGGCTACAAAAAAAACTCTGGTCACATCTGGCAACGTCAGCACCCCTAGCTGGCGCGTGCTAAGCCCCCCAGCAGAGGGCACAAGATGGGCATGTTTGCTGACCGTAAACGACCGGGTGCCAATGCGGCTGTGGTTGCCACCGTGATCCACCGTGAAAACAATGGCAAGGAACCCACGCGCGCTGCCTCAATGTGGCACGGCATATCGGAAGTCGTGTTGTTGTTGTTGCGTTTGGCGTGCAGCAACCAACGACGTAGGCTTTGCCGGGAAATGCGGGGACCTAAGCCATAGGACAACGGATGGGCCACTCCTCACAATTGGGTTTAGATAGAGCGAGCCCACGCATGCCCTTGCAGACCGGCGTAGTACGCAATGCGGCCGGCACCGCAGCTGGAATGTAGAGTCAGAAATCGTGCCCAGAGACCGGCAGCTTGGGACAAGCGAATTGTGCTAACCATCCTTAGTTGCCCGGGGCCGCAACAGCAGGATTACTTTGGGGCCAACAGAGCAATCGCCGACCCCATCAATTGAACCGGGTTTGGAACCTCCGAGGTGGAAGAACTGAAATAACAAATCATAAGCCAAAACATGCAGAAGGGCGAACAAAACATTAAAAAATGAGTCTTCAAAGGTTATCAGCAAATTTACGGAAGCTGTCCCAGACAAATAAGTGGCAAGCAGCAACTCATCGACATGGCCTGAAAATGGAAACGATAAACATTCATGCAACGCTACCCCTAAATACGTGTAACGTCTCCCG